TCAGTCCAGCGTTAGTTGAAACAATTATTATTATTATTATTATTATTATTATTATTATTATTTTAAAAAGGCGTGGAGGAGAGACGACATTTCAACATCTGCATTAAAGTATTTCCACCTGCTTCTATAGCAGAGGCCACAAAACAGGCACACACTACTTAACATATTACTGACAGAATGATGAGAAAGCTCCTGTCAGGCACGGGCCAGCCGGGTGTTGGAGACAAAATGCACAGCCCCAGCTGACTAGTTAGAGAAAGTCTGGAGAGGTACAATTATAGAGGCATATGACAAGCCTTCATGCTTGACTGACTTGAGAACCGATGACATGGCATTAAACAGCAATGCTTCCTACCCAGCGGTCACAAAACAGCAATAAGTCAACTGATGCACCGTTGTAAAATCATGATTTATTCCTTTGCTTTGAATACACAAGACTACAGCACGATGTTCTGGTAGACTACCACTGCAGGTTCACTTGGGGCCCAAACATCCAGGGCTTGCCTGCCTACAGCAGGCATAAAATCAATGTTCTAGCACTGGCTTCCTGAAAAAAGGTTTCCACGCTAGCTTAATTCACACAGCAAATGCAATACAAAAAGCTGCATTCAAGCTGTTATATCCTCATACCTTTTTAAAGTGCTGAGTGCATGCAGGATGCACGTTTGCATGCATATTTTCATTTACAGGAAGATGGAAATAAAAGAGAATTGCAAGACAGAGAAACAGATACAAAGTAAACGTTTTACCTATGCAAAAGGCAATCGTGTATTTATGTAAAAATGCATATATGTAAATAAAGAACTGATCGTTATTTTGTTACACTTACTTCTTTCCCCATTAAAATAGTTTGATCACTATATGCTGCGCTCTCCAAAAACAGAACCCCCTTTTTCATTTCTATACATATCAGGATTAGTCCTTTAAAACCACAGGGTAGAAAGGAATGGCAAAGGTGCTAAATCTTTTTTTAAAAAATAGTGATTTATAGATTCAGAGAATTTTCTATCCTCCACAAAACAAGAAAAGTAAGGCAAGCTTGAGAGAGAGCTTGAATTATGTCTTTTGTTATTGGTGCAACTGCCCTTAGATAGTGAACCGAAACAGAGCTGATAACTTGGAGGTGACATCACAACTCAGTCTGCATGAACTGTCATAAACACTTGGTATTAAGTTAACCTCAAAGATAAAAGGACAACTCCCCTAACAATAGAATGGATTTGATAACACTATTTTCAAAGGAAAAGGCGCTTATTCAGAAAGCAAAACTCTAATGCAGGAGTTACATTTTCACTGGTGATATATAGTCAAAATTTGCTTTATTTAATGCAAGTGGTAACCATAAAAACAAAGGGTGGTATCCAACTAAAGTGTACTCAGGATAGATCCACTGAAATTAATGGATCTAAGTTAGTCATGTCCATTTATTACATGGATCTACACAGAGTATGACTCATGTTGGCTACAACCCATTAGAATCAGAGAATATGCAATACAAACGACTAATTGAGGTAGTTTAGCTGTTAATGCAAACATGAAACATAATGTTTAATACAGAAATATAAAAAGTGGACCAGAAGATAATATGGTTAACACCTTCAAAAGAAACCAAAGCACAGTTAATTACGAACTTCCTGGTTTCATTCCTCATGTCATAAAGGGGCTATGTGTGGGCCCAAGGTTCATTCATATCCCATCTTAATAAGCCAATATTTCTTCCTCCAAACCTAGCCAAGATTCTTCTCATAACTCTAAACTTAACTAATTAAAAAAAAAATCTGACAGACACCTGGTAGAAGTGCAGAAATGCAAAATAGATAATCGGCATGCTACACACACTCAGTCTACAGTTTGTGTAGAAGAGTGCAAAATTAGGATATAATCCAGTTACTACTTTAAGTGGTAACTCTTAATGGGTCCTAGATGGGATACATGAACATTTGATATTGCCCTACATTGATGCAGACAACAGTTCCATCCAGCTCAGTGTTTCGTACTCTTACTGAAAGGATCTCCAAGATACCAGGGGACTAATATATATATTTATTTCTCTGAAGTGGAGATAAACCTGGAACGTCATGCATGCAGTCCATGTTCTACAGGGGTCGGCAAGGTTTACCTCGCCTGGGCCAGTTCACTCCAGCGGAGATCCCTCTGTGGGCGTCTGAGCATGCGCAGACGCGATTTCCGACACTACGGAAGCGAGTCCATGCACTGCGCTGCACCGGTTTAGCACAGCGTGCAGGGATTTGCTGAGCAGGCAGCTCGGTTCGGGGGTGGCTCGTGGGCCGCTTGTGGCCCACGGGCCTTAGGTTGCCTACCCCTGATGTACTATGATACAGGTAAAGGTAAAGGACTCCTGGGTGGTTAAGTCCAGTCGAATTCAACTATGGGGTGCAGGATCTCCGCTTTCAGGCAGAGGGAGCTGGTGTTTGTCCACAGACAGCTTTCTGGGTCATGTGGCCAGGATGACTAAATCGCTACTGGTGCAATGGGACACACTGTGACGGAAGCCAGAGAGCACAGAAACGCCATTTACAACACGCACCCCTTTGGAAAACAGGAACAGTGACTGGTGCTAAAAAAATTCCATTGCAAAAAATGCCACTACAATATTTCTACAATGGTCAATAATTTCAACCACAAGTAGAAGTGCAATTTGAATACAGAGGCCTACTACCTGAAATTCCTTAAATGTAGCTAACAAAGTTGTTGTCAGACTTTACTTCCCATTAGCTCCAGTCAGCACAGCCAATATTCAAGGATGATGGGGGTTATAGTCCAACAACATATGGAGGACATCACGTAAGATACCCTCAGCCTTAAAGGAATGAGCCACAAAACAAACCTTGGACCTATGGGAATGCCCAACATGATGCATATTCAGGGGGTTGCATCCAATCAAGCTGCAGATTTTCACTCACACAATGAAACCTCCCCTCCTCTCATCTGCAGTCCCTTCCCCCACCCATCCACCCACACACATGCACTGTCAAAATCTGCTCCCAGGGATTGGGAGGCCTTCGGAAGCAGATTGGGCAGAGGCAGAGAGAGCAGAGAGAGGAAAAGTCCAATTGCAAAACCAGAACTGTGCTTGTACAGCATCAGATACCACCGAGAGGGTGGTTCTACTCTAATGGAAATCTGATTGCCATGATTGACATCCTATACCCTTTTAAAATGTGGCTCTTTGGGGGGGGTGTTATTGGGTTGTTGTTTTTATTTTGAGTATATATGTTGTGGTTTTATATCTTGATTTTATTCTGTGAACCACCCTGAGACCCCCCGGGTACAGGGCGGCATATAAATAATAATAATAATAATAATAATAATAATAATAATAATAATAATAATAATGTGCACTGACTCTACACTCACTCTGCACTGGTCACACTGCCGACTGATGCAATCCGTTTCAGTACAGTGGGCAGCGTCTACATGACAGTTGCCCTGCATTAAGTTGTTCCTGCTGAAAAAGGAGCTATTGCTCGAATTGCACTTCAAGAAACTGAAGCCAAATCTGAACTGCAAGACTGACTGATATAGGCACCCTTCACCATGTAAAGCATATTCACAAGTTCAAGAGGGGCACTTTTCTGGTTGTCCCTAGACACAGGTCCGAGTATTTTTTTTTTTTGTTTTCCCTGGAAAATGCACTCTTTCCCGCGGAATCAGAACCAACAGAAATCCACAGAAAGTCCATGGATTAACAACTGGCGTACAAGCTTAACAAGTGAATGACAACTATAGTCAACAAATGGATGTTGGACTTATTTTTATCTCTTGAAACGAAGAATGCTATTTACTCAGCACACTCTCGTCCCTGCATAACAAAACTTCAGAGTATCTCAAATTTCAAAGCTTTCAGCACATCTGAATGAGAGCTAAGCACCAATAAAGTTGTTGACTGTATTTTGATCACTCAGTGCAAGATTTTATTTGTTCATGCTTTTAAAGCCCTGCTCTTACTATTTACAAAGACTCAGATAGTAATCCTGCAGAGTTAAGCAGCTCAACTGAGTTTAACCTCATAAATTCCATTAAATTAAAGGAAATTAAAATTAGCTTGTGTACAGGCTTGCCTAGGGTACATCCAGATTAGCTAACAGCGCAAAACTATTTTTGTACTATTTCTGATTATACTGAACATACTGTAAGTGGTTTTGCATTCAGTGAATCATTTGAACACACCTATTACCAGACTAGAAAGTATGTCATGCAATAGATTTGAAGGAATCCTAAGTAATATATTTCTATACTTAACAGACAACACTCTGCATACACAATGATGCCCATTGGCTTGAAAGCAATGTTGCTTGCAACTTAATTGAGATGGGTGTAGACCTGTATATTACACCCCGTGGGAAAGGATAGAACAAAAAGGGGCTATCAAAAGATTTAGGCATGGCTGTAGAGTTAAAACATGGCTCTCTTTATCTCTGTGCCATCTGCAATGACATAAGAAAGCCATTTCAGCATAGGCAGAAGCATAAAACCTGTAATAAAAAAGGCTATTTGGAATAGTAAGTTATTATCAGCCTGAAGAGCTGCTCCAAAATCAGAGCTATTACAGTATACGCTCCCCAAACACTACTCTGCAACCAAGATGAATTTACCTATTACCAGGTTTAGGATACTAGCTATTATCATGCCCCCTTGATTTCTTTCAAGTAGCTCCAATGGAATAAGCCACAAGTGAATAATAAAGATCTTATAATAGCCCTTAAGAATTCTTTATAGGGTGGAAGGCACAGAAATGAACTCTAGCGAGTTAGAGAACTCTCATCTCCGGATAACAAAAAATAATTAACCTGACTTAATGTATCTGAGAAGGCTTTATATAAATCAGACTTTTGTGCTTCAAGAGTCAGATTAAAACCATATATTTTTAAAAGTATGTAGATATTGTCTCATAAGTACCTACTGAACATATTTAAATCTGCAAGGGTCTTTTTGAGATGCTCAATGTATTCTGCTTGAAAGAAGTGTGAAGTACTTACAGTGCTTAGTTTGCTGGAGGTAATAATGATGCGTCTCTCATGCAACATGCTGGCATAAAGTTGCAGCATGTTGTTCACATCCACAGCAACAAAATATTCAGTAAGATTTCTCTGTTTAATAAAGAATAAGTACTGTTAACACATTAATAGTGGTAATTGAGTGGAGCATAAACTTATAACTACCCATTTCCCTGCTGAAGGGGGATTTTTTTTATCTCGTTAAAGAAATATGTCTGCACAATAAGCATCTTTAACTGAAATTTGTCACCTTGTTATCCTTTGCAATATTAAAAACTGTGCTTCAAAATATTCAGATTTCATTTTTTGAGCAAGGCTGCCCTCCCTCACCAGTTTTTTAGTTTAGCTTATTAAACATAACCACTTCTTAAACATTCGTGCCTGCAAACACAGACACACACACAGAATGAGAGCGATCCTTGCATCCACTATGGGCAAATGATTGTTTTAAATGACATAAATGGATATATACTACTGTATGCAAATCCCCAGCACTATGGAATTGAAACAGTCTGTGAAGGGAGAGAGTGGCGGATGTTGGGATGTGTAAATGAATTAAAGGAGAATAAAGCCATTGAGTAGAGAGCTGAACCAGTTTATTTTCAGGTTCTATCCAGCCTTATAATTCAGTGGATATGTGCTAAATATCTCATCTTACCCCATATAAATCTTACAAAACTTACACTTTCAGGTACTGTTGGTAATCCAGTTAGATCAGGAGTAATGAAATACGATTGCTGGTCAAGGAAAGGAAAACAAAACAAAACACAGAGTTATTGGTCCTGAAAGTGATAGCAGTATTATAAACTGCTGTTTATGTAGGCTAGTTAGCTTTTGTTCTTGTGGCAGAATGACATGATTAGTAAAGTAATCAGGAGCACCAGATAGTTTGATTCAATAGACCACAGGCATGAAATACCCTTTTCAGAAAAGTGTTTGTTTTCTACTGAAATCACAGTTTTGCTAATTCCAGGAGTTTACAAAAAACACAACAGCGTATATGTAGAGCATCACTGGTGTTAAAGAGTATGTGACAAGGCTCTTTTCAAACCTTGGAGCTGAAGGAGGAGAAAAAATCAGGAGAACAGGAAGAAAAATAGAAGAAGGGACTATACATCCAGTTGCTTCTGTAGCCGCTACTGCCCTAGATAGCAGACACCAGATCCCCACCTGCACTATACATTTAAAGCAGTATCATACCACTTTAAACATGTCTTCCCCCAAAGAACTGTTGTTTGTTACTGGTGCCAAGTATTGATAGGAGATCCCTATTCTACTCATAAAGCTTCAATTCCCAGAGTAGTTTAACAATCATAAGGAAATGGAGGGGTGTGGCCTCATTTTCATAAAGTGGAATAACAAATCCTGCATTCCTAGCCACAATTTTCTTCTTGTATCTCCCTTGTTCATAGATTGGCAGCTGGTGGGGGGGGGCAGCCTGTACTCCTCAAAGGGTTGAATATAGCCTTGGGCTTCCAGTTCCTGATTGTTACAGAACTGGGTTCATTCTGTTAAATATTTACAAGCAGGTTGCAAAACAACCCAAGTTTCCCCCCCACACACACAATAGTTTATGAGAAATGTAACTTAACAAGGTTCTGCATGCATATTTTAATGTGATCCACAGGAGGTGTCAAAAGCTTCACTAGGTCCACATGCATGGACAATAAACACAGTGTATGAAGGTATGAGGACTCCAGCTGAAAAACTGTTTTTCTAAAAAAAAATATGTTTAAATTAAAGGTTTTCTTGGGTTACAGATATACATCGTCTCTACAGTGGTACCTCGCAAGACGAATGCCTCGCAAGACAAAAAACTCGCTAGACGAAAGGGTTTTTTGTTTTTTGAGCTGCTTCGCAAGATGATTTTCCCTAGGGGCTTGCTTCGCAAGATGGAAACATCTTGCAAGTTTGTTTCCTTTTTCTTAACACCGTTAATACAGTTGCGACTTGACTTCGAGGAGCAACTCATAGAACGCGGTGTGGTAACCTTTTTTGAGGTTTTTAAAGACTTTGGTGATTTTTGAAGCTTTTCCAAAACTTTCCCGACACCGTGCTTCGCAAGACGAAAAAAATCGCAAGACGACAAAACTCGCGGAACGAATTAATTTCGTCTTGCGAGGCACCACTGTATTTCTGACACTAGTCACGATCACTATGAAGGTCAAGGAGAAGTGGACCACCATTGTATGTTGGGAAAGCAATTCCTGTTCTAAGGAAATCATTATGGGATTACCAATATGGGCAGAAATCAACTAGTCTGTTCTTAGCAAGACAATGGGAGAGATTAGCAGGTGAGGATTGACTAAAGTGAGGGTTGGTCCAACTTGAGGATCCGGAAACCACAGGAAACTTAGGTGTGTAAGGTCTGCCTCTTCCTTACTCTCATTCACCAACTGCCAATTATTGTGAACAGCTGGCCTACTCTGCTTCTCATGGTGGGGGATGTGGAAGTTGCAGTTTTAATTGTAGCACTGATGGAGGGAGGTACATCCTTAGCACAATCCCACACGTCTACTCTGAAGTCTCATTGAGATCAATGCGGCTTACTCCCCGGTGAGTAGGTAAAGGATTGCAGCCTCCGTCTACAAATTAAACTCAGGATCTATGAGAGAACAAGCATCACAGAAGCTCTTAGCTAGCCTCATAATTGTGAATGGGGAAAATGTTACTAGACTAAGACCATATTAATGGGATCTAGAATTTTGTACTAAGGAAAGGACCTGGGTAAGTTCATTTATAGCTACTTGTTAAAGTAAGGTGTTTATGCCACTAGGTCTTTATTATCCCTGTCCAATTATAGCCTTATTGGGCAATTCTGACAACTAACACGTTTTTCACATTCAGAATTAGTTGATAGCTAAATAAAACACAAGCAGTGGTAGAAAAAGAAAGAATTAGCAAAACAAAAACAAAAAAACATTACGAATGTGTTTTTTAATCCAGTACATGTACAGAATGACAGAATTCATATAACATAGAAAAAGGATAAATTCAGATATTATGAAACCAAGAAAGCATCCCAAATTCTGAAAAATATTTTCTGTTTATACTATTATTATATTTAAAATGCTTATTTGAAGTTGGAGGGGGGAATCCCAAGGGTGCCAAACCCTTAAATGTATTTAAATTTCAACCTGACATTCTTCTTCAGGGATATTTACAAAGCTGAACATTTAAAAAAAATGTCAGATGATCTTCAGATAGTCATCACTAGCAAAAATAACTATACTTTTATATTATCTTACATTAGTTAGCTTAAACCCTTTTAGGTTTTTTGTGGGGGGAGGTGAAATATAGGATTATTTCCTATCACCACCACCTTTCTCAGCCCTTCTTTTTCATTTTGGTGGCTAATTATTCAACTTTTTTCTTCCAAGGAGCTAGATTCAGTCATTAAAAAGCAAAATATTCAACCTCTGCTGAGATATTATGATAAAAACGGTATGTACCACTGAAATATCAGTAGAGATATGATGTTAAGACATTGCTCACATGCTGCCAACAGTGCCAAGTGTAAATATATTCAGTGAAAATAATACATTTTTTTTATTCCTGTTCTACAAAGAGGCCTTCTCAGGAATTCGTAAACAGTTGAAAGGCATAAAAAATATTTTTAAAAAACAAAAAGTCAGTAAGAATAAACTATTGTCACTCTATTAAATGTAAAGAGGATATTTAGCATACAATTTGCACATATACTTCCAATTCTGGTTTAGTCTAAACAGAAAATACATTCAAGAGTTTTTTTTCTTTTATACCAGAGCTGCAACATAATAATTTCTCAGGGGACATTTATGAATCACTTGCAATCAACAGAGACATCATTTGGCAGGCAATTATTTCTTTCAAGAGGGGCTATGAGTAGCCAGAGCAGTTTAAACTCACCGCCATTAAACAAGGTTGATTTTTCAAAACTTGCTCACTTGCAAAAAAGATCTCGTTGTTCTTTTTCCAATATTAGAGAGAAAATTGAACAAATTCAAGTTTTGAAACCAAAGAACTGAGTTTAACTTGCAAAGCTGCACTTTTCTGAAATAACTTGACTCCATTCTCTTTAACATCATGTAATGTTTCAAAGGCAAAAACAAACAGTTCAATCAATCTACCTTGTTGTTTTCAAACTTTACAATATAGGGCTTTTGGTTTGTAAGGTGTAGGGTGTGAGGTCATTTTCTCTTTTTCTTTGCAGAAGAAACAGAAATGGGAATACCAAAGATGAATGAGGAATTATCACAGCAACAGATGGAATGGCAAAGGACTGAGCTATGTATTGAAGTAATTGGGCATATATTCAGGCAAATATCTGAAATCCTTTCATTACATGCAGAACTGCACATATAAATTAAAGCTGTGCCTAGCAATCAAGACCAGTTTTGTTTTTTTAAACAACCAGTGATGATATTCTAGGAACAGAAAGATGCATTAGCAACTAACAAAGTATGATATCCGTTGCACTGTTAAGTTTAAACTTTTGTGTTCATAAATGTCCATATCTTTGCATGTATACTCTTATTAGCTATGTGTAACATGGGTTTCGAGTTTGTTCCGCAACAATGGTACTCTACATCATGAGTACTGTGTTTCTCAGTTCCTGCTAGGTGCAAATTTTCTTAATGAATATCCAACTTTGCTTTCATGCTGGTTCTGGTTCATCCGGCCAAATGGCTGGTTACAGAAAGTTCCACTTTCAGAGTATTTTATGTAAAACTGGTGTTGATGTGTGAGCCTCAGAGAACACAGCTTGGCATCCAGATCCCCAGAGGAGTATATGGCAGAGACAATTAGAAGGGGGAAATGTTTTTACTACAGCACCAAGCTAATTTATTGGACTGACTGAGTGCTGTCAAACATGGCATTCCAGACTGCCAGCTTTTCAAGCACTTTTCAAAACCTAATTATGTAACGTCTATTAGAATTGTGCAGATGATCATTTTTGTCTGAATAATTTGTGCATCAACAAAGCGAGTGTCCATGCCCTACCTGCATCCCCGAGCAAATTAAAGATTGGTGGCTTGCAACATAGTGCTTGCTAATATTGTGCACCATGTGATGATGTGTGTAGAACAAAAGAAGGGGAGGGCAGTAAAGCCTACTGATATTGATATTATTTTTATTCTGGATTGTACCCAATGTTAGTCCTACTCAGAGTAGGCCCACTAAGGTCAACAGACCTTACTCACATAGGTTTATTAATTCATATGAGTCAAATCTAGATACAACTTTTTTATTTCTAACCCACCATTCAACCTTAAGGCTCCCGGGGCGATCCACAAAGAATTCATTAAAATGCAACATAGCAACATCACATAACAACCATGAAACCAACATCATAACAGTTCACAAGCAGAAGAAGCAAATTAATTAAGTCAGTCATCTCCAAAAGTCTTGAAGAAAGAGTGACATATTGACAATGGAAAACAAGTAATGGGGGTGACAACAGTTTTTGCAACAGGAGGAAGTTCTACATCCAGGGTGCCATAACAAGTGTGTGAAGGTTTCTAAGGGAGATATGCCAGTGAAAAAACAGCAAGAAGTATTTTAAAACAGGTCTAGCTAGCCCCTTATCATCACACAGTGGATGTCAAAACGCAACCCAAACAAACAGGCATGGGCTTTTTTATTAATATACTGCCTTCTCATAAAATATCATACAAAACAAAAATTAAAATAGGAACAAGAAAATCTGGTAAATCAGGCAAGGAACCATGGAGATACTGAATCTGTGTCATCTATCCAGCTTGGTGACAAGGACTAGACTTCTGAGAGGTCGTGTGCAAGTGAAGGCTGTGGCTATTACTCATTCTACCCCTGCCTTTCCCAATCTAGTGCCCTCCAGACATTTTGAACAACTACCAGCAGTTAGCATTTGCAACCCCTAAGTCCTATAAAGTCTCCATTGTGCAAGACTGTATGTTTGTCCATAGATCCTAGAAAAATAGAGCTCCTTTCTGCCGTACAGCAACTGAAGAGTGCTGTTCTCCTGGCAATATCCATAGCACAACCTTTTGGAGCTGCCTGCATCTGGACCTCCAAGTCAAAGATTCGAAATGGAACCTAAGAAACTTGTGACAATTAGTTTAGTGTCTAGAATATCAGGGGATCCACACGTGGGTCCAACACAGGTAGGTTGTGACAATAGCCCCAAGCACGTAAGCACACAAAAAGGGTACAATATTAGCTGATGTGTGGCGTTAAGAAAAGGGGAAAGGGGAAAACATGCCCAGATACTGAGTTGGGGGGATGTCAAAAGGCACCTTAACAATTCCTTAGTAAATTCCTGTGCCTCCTTGGGGAGATCTGCCTCCCATTTTGAGAGATGTGAGAATATAATTTGGATACTTTATTATGGCATCAAGCTCCCCAGCTTATACAGAGTAAATAAAAAGGGCTGTTTTTGTTGCTGATTATTATTAATTGGTATCAGGCTCTGTAATGAAGACAATACCTACCAAATTTAAGCTGATCGGAGTATTTGCCTTTGGCACAGAATGCGTATACCAGGTTTCTAACAAGTCATTCAAGTCATCTTCCTATAAAAAATAAGATTTTAAAATGTTTATTCAGTAGCTATATAAACCATGGTCACCGTAATCCAGTACTTCAGATATGTACACAGTAACAAATGAATTCTAAAACTCCTAGTAATTTAAACCAATATCTGATTTCTCACCTCTGCAAATCCTAATTGAAGCCCTGCTCACTCTCTGGTTTTACTGCTTTTCTAACTCTCTCCCCTCTGAGTCTACTCTCCACCTCAATCTTCTGAATCATTTCTTCTTCCACACCTGAACCTTCCTACTTCTCTTGTCCTGCTTTCCAAAGACCATGCTTCTTCTACCTCCTCCTTTCCCAGGCCTTTATTTCTGCCCCACTTCTTCCTAGGAATCACATTGAAAGTATCTATAAAACAAATCACATATTGTTCTACTTTTATCCCATTATCTGGGCAGCAGGTTAAAACGACCCCACTTGTCCTATCATTTCTTTCTGTAATATCTATTCTATAACATTCCAATAAAGCAAACCTTATAAAAAGTCATTCCAAAATCTAATGAAAATTGGTATATAACTGTAAAAAACAGATAAGCAAACAAATTGCAGTGTCAATATTATAAGAGACAGAGTCCTAGTTGGAACTAGGACAACAAAGCTTGCTAGCATCTTGAATGTTTGCATTTATATTCTGTGAACGCATGCCAGAAATCCATCATCTCTCCAACTTGGATTAGCTTGAAAAGAGGATTAGACAAATTCATGCAGGAGAGGGCTATCAATGGCTACTAGCCATGATGGCTATGATCTGCTTCCAGCAGCGCTTCTGAATACCAATTGCTAGAAACCACAGGAGGGAAGAGGGCTCATGGGCTTGAATCCTGCTTGCTGGTTTCCACAGGCAACTGGTCGGCCACTGTGAGAACAGGATGCTGAACTAGATGGGCCACTGGCCTGATCCAGCAGTTTTTAACAACTGAGTGCATGAAGAGAGAATGATATCATGCTCACTGCCCCAACCTCCTGACCTTCAGGTGACCAGCCATTGGTATGAACTGAACTTTTGTGCAGAGAGAAAGCTGCACAGATACAGCTTGTATGTACATGGGCTGTATTCGGTGAATGTGTGAAAAGAGTTCATGTGACTAACAGTCAACACACTGGTGCATTTTCAACACAGCGGTAAACCCACTCCTATATTTGCTTGTACAAAATAGTAACCATCACCTTTATAACTGGTTGGCCCACTTTCCATTCCACTACCATGCTACTTAGATGACTGATATAGCCATCTTTTTGGTCCAGTTCCATCCGCTTTGGCAAGTAGGTTATTTCTTTTTTAAATGCTACCCAGTCAAGACGGGTGGAGTACAGATGATATTATTATTATTATTATTATTATTATTATTATTATTATTATTATTATTATTAAATTTAAATCCCGCTTGATTGTAAAAAAACCCAAAGCGGTTGTCATGTCAAGAGAAAGGGATGAAGCTTGCAGTCACACACAAGTAGACAGAACATATTAGGAACTAATGGGGGGGGAGGCACAAATAGCAAGAATAGACTGCATGAGCTTCATCCTGAGTACACATACTATAACATTTTGTTGCATGCATGGGCGTAGTATCCCATGGTCACCGCCCAGGGTGGGGAGTGACCTGCCAGGCCAGCATCGGGAAAAGCAACATTGCTTCTTTGACACTTCCTCCCCCGGTTAAGGCTTGACCTACGAGCGGAGCTGTGGACAGGCACAGGGCGCGCAGCCCAGCTAAGGAGAGAGGCAACAGCACTGCCGACTTTTCTTCTAACAAGCATATATTTAATTAATAAAGACAACCAACATAAAATTACCTGTCCTTTAGACAAATAATCTGCCAGCGTATTTAAAAGTTTGTAGTATACCTCGAACCATGGCAAGTAGCTGAAAAGAGAGACATAAAAGCTTTTATTTAAAAAAGGAGAAACACAATATGAAAACGATTTCATCGTGATGCACTTTTTGAAAGCGTTCAAGCAAGATTGAACAATAAAGTTTTAGATCTAAGTAGTTCATAAGAAAAAAGTGTATTGACTTGATCCTGCAAAACAAAACAAAATGTATCTAACTTTTTTCTCATTTGTAAGAAAATGCTTAAAAGACAGTACATGGTGATGGCTGTGGGTTTTTTTAAACAAGAAACTATTCTTGGTTTGTTTAGCTTTTCCTTAAATCCTCAAGAGGGCATTTGATACTTACCATTCATTAAAACCATATCACAGGAAGTCCACAAAGCTTGGATGCAAAGGGACAAACTTGATACATTATGAAAAACAAGCACACAGAGATATGTTTTATACACATACACACTAAAGTATGAAGAATGAAAGAGTCCAGCTAAATGCATATTGAAATACTAGATACTAGAATTATTTTCCTTTCAACGCTGGGAAGAGTAACAACAGCTACCCCTATTTTCAGAAACTGAAAAATAATGTTTAAAAAACAAAACAACAGCTACCATTAACCTACAACTGTTAAAATGACAAAAATGCTAGATGCAGATAATATAGATCCATTATTTAAAACCAAAAGATCAAATTGAACCATACATTAGCATTCAGAGAGGAATATACCTATCACAATTATAACGGAGACTTTGGCAACCTCCTCTAGACATTTTCACCAGCTTAACCATATATGTGACTGGTATAACCATCTCCACCATGTGCAGAATGATGTCACTCTTTGTAACATAAGAAGGGTCTGCTGGATCAGGCCAAAGGCCAATATAGTCCAGCATCCTGCACTCACAGTGGCCAACCAGATGGCTTTGGGAAACCCACAAGTAGAACCCAAGCACAAGGGCACTCCCCCTCCCAGTTGGTTTCCAGAAACTGGTATTCAGAAGCAGAGCAGTGGAGGCAGAGCATAGCTATCATAACAATGTGCTGTCATAGCTATGGGTGCCCAGATACACACAAGCATTCCTCATTTCTCATTAAGGAGCACTATTACAAGGGGGCAAGTGTACATCCCTGATCCCAGATTACTTTCTACCAATCTAAATAATAAGTGTGCGAGAAACAATGGAGTGTGCCTCTGGGGTTGAAGTCAAACCACTGGAGAATCACAGCGCCTGCTGTGGCTGCCAAGACCCAATAACCCATCAGTGATGCCTCCCACATTGTTTCTGCTGCTTTAACTGCACCGAAGGGACCTCTCTGGGGCACAAGCCTGGGCAGTGTGTACAGAGGTCCTGGGCTGCCCAGATGACAAGACCCTCCTCTTGGCTTCCCTGATGTGGTCCAAAGGAAAGCAGTGCAATACATTTGGCTGCAGGAGCTGCCAGGAGGAGACATGAGAGACGCCATGTGTTTATGTGGGTGGCGCTGTGGGTTAAACCACAGAGCCTAGGACTTGCCGATCAGAAGGTCGGCGGTTCGAATCCCTGTGACAGGGTGAGCTCCCGTTGCTCGGTCCCTGCTCCTGCCCACCTAGCAGTTCGAAAGCACATCAAAGTGCAAGTAGACAAATAGGAACCGCTCCGGCGGGAAGGTAAACAGCGTTTCTGTGCGCTGCTCTGGTTCGCCAGAAGCGACTTAGTCATGCTGGCCACATGACCCGGAAGCTGTCTGCGGACAAACGCCGGCTCCCTCGGCCCATAGAGCGAGATGAGCGCCGCAACCCCAGAGTCGGTCACGACTGGACCTAATGGTCAAGGGTCCCTTTACCTTAAGCATGAGGCTGCCCAGCCCGGAACAGCTTGGCTCTGTCTTTCTTACCCTATACATATCGACTTCAATACAAACTATTGTGAATGAAATTCTGCTCACGGAAGAGGACTTTCCTGTCTCCCCCTTCCTACTGAAGCTCCCATAGATCCTCCTTAACCTTTTCTTCTTCCTAAATTAAGCTTAACAACAATTGTGGAAGAGGGTGATGTTTATCCTCTGAACCTAAACTTAGGGACTTTCTTACTCACTTCAACGTATGTCACAGTTAAGGCAGGAATAGTGATTATGCTACACAATAATACAGCTGAGGAGAGGAAGCCAATTAGGATTTGGTCACCTCTGTACAATGCATAACGCAGAGAAACCATGAAAAGGCTGGATCACAAAACTGGCTTAATCAGTATCTCCTAATTTCAATAATTCAGAGAGTGCTTCAACAAATTTCCTGCCTGCCATGTAAAGCACAAAATCTTTAAAATGACATCTGCAGAATCAATCGCGGATGTGGAAGTGTTATGCTTTTAAAATGCATTCAGTCCTACCTAAAGAGTGGCCCTTACCTGTCACATAAACAACGGCAGCATATATTTCATTGCTAATTAAAAACGTATTTAGCATATTCTTTTAATCCAAGGAGCCACAAGGCAGGCGCTCAGGCTTTCATTCAAAGTCATTCTTCAGCTTTGTTGCACTAAGTAGACTTCCACCTCGCTTGCGCTTCCACTACAGTTCTGATAAAGCTTTTATATTCGCAAGTCAAAGGTTAAATAAAGGAAAGGAAATGTTTTCTGTCAAACAGTCAGGTAACCACTAACAGTCCTGAACTATCAGCAGGAATCTAACTTCTAGTAATCAAATAAAACTAAGGAAACCGCCTTTCCGTAGCTAAATGTCTAATGTCTAGGGGCTACTTTCTGTCTGGAAAATTGACACAAAATGTGTAAAATTGAAACATTCTGCTTCTGAGGGATTTGCCTAAAGGAAGAAGGGGGGGGAGAGCTTCAAGCACAGTCTGAGATGAAGAACTACAAAGGCTTCCCAAATAAACCTGTCTACCTTATTAGAACATTTCGTTTAGAAATCTAGGTGACAATTTTACAGTCATAAAATTTCATTAATCAAATCCAAGGCTGAAAATTTTAATGATGCCGTCTGCATTTCACAGGATGCATAAGGTCAGCTAGAGACACAGACAGTAGTTTAACAAAATGAACCCAGTCAAATTATTTTCATGCATTTAGGAAGATATATACCTGGTTTCTTACGAGAGGGAGTATTAAGAAAACAAAACTAAAAATCCCCCAAAGCATACTGTTCTTTAACAATGACACATCAAAGTTAACCCAGTAATTTACACTGGAACTCTCAAGTCTGCACCATCATTAACGTGAAAAATTAAATTTAGACAGCAAATTTAGCATAGCAAAACGTGTGTTAAACAGGACTTGAGGCATCTTTTTCAGTCTAAATAGTGAAAGGCAGATTAAAGGTTCTGTAGAAGCCTCGGCAACAGCAGGAATCCAGACTGTGAGCTCCACAGAAGAGGCAGACAACTGGAAAATACTATGCTGCAAAGCAGCACACAGAAAGCCTGCAGAAAGTTCTAGCCACCTCTTGTGCTGTTTAAGCTGTTTATATTGCCATTTCGTATCCGTTTGCAGTTTGGCTTCCATTTTAGTAGCTGCAATGGGGGAGAGCAAAATGATTCATCTTTCTTCTTCTTTTCCAACTATAAAGGTATCGAGCACAGATATTGATAAAGACCGAAGCGACACACGGCAGCCATTGTTAAGCGACAGAGTCCCAGGCGAGTTATAGTGGTCTATGAAAATAGTAGCCAATAAAGTGAACCTGGTGCGGTAAATTTGCAACATATTGTAATTTTTCTTTACCCTTCCAAAATAAAAATAAAAATGCACTTTTCTTCCTCAAAACAGTGTAGATCACCCGACCCCACTCCACTCACCATTCCCCCTCCCCCCTCTTTCCCCTCTTTTCTTCCTAATTGTTTAAACCAGTTCATGAACCAAGAACTTATACATTGACCACTAACAAAGAAATGTATGTTGTAGATATATTTCCACATTTATTATGCTATTTTTGTGATATTCAAATGACATGAGAAAACTTGGTATACTTCTTTGTACAACATTATTCTTGTTTATAAAACCCAATAAAATAAAATAAAAAATGGTGTAGATTCTTAAATGGATCTTAGAGATTTATACCCTCCCCTTCAACAAATCCCCAGGGCAGAATCTAATTATTATATTAATAAAAGCAATCAAGGGTGTATACCATGGGCAGGCAAACTAAGGCCTGGGGGCCGGATCTGGCCCAATCGCCTTCTAAATCCGGCCCACGGACAGTCCAGGAATCAGAGTGTTTTTACATGAGTAGAATGTGTCCTTTTATTTAAAATGCATCTCTGGGTTATTTGTGGGGCACAAGAATTCGTTCTATTTTTTCCCCAAAATACAGTCCAGTCCCCCACAAGGTCTGAGGGACAGTGGACCGGCCCCCTGCTGAAAAAGTTTGCTGGCCCCTGGATACAGTAGTGGCTGGTGAGGCAGCATGACATTGCTCACCTGACTTCCCACTGTCCTGCATCGTTGCCAGTTACCAAGAGGTGAAGGCAGCAGGTAGCTGGGTGCGGGCAGAGTCAATTCAACGCTACTGATGCTGTGTCAGCACCAGGCTAAGATCCCCACTGCCTTCCCCCTCTCAAAACGCATGTTAGAAAAAGGCACTGCACCCCATCTTGCACTCGTTCTTGCACAATGATTCATGAAACTGAGCCATTGCCAGAATTTCTTTCGCTAGTGCATCTCTAGGTCCAACCCTCAGATGGAAGGGTGCACTAAATCTATATCACATTGGTGAAGGGGGCACTGATCTGCACTGTGTGTTTGTTGGGGGTCAAAGTCCCTTGATAGCACTCCTGATGTTGCTTTAAGGCACCCAAGCCATAGCTATGGACAGGAATGCACTTTTCCATCTTTGTTTGATCTGTGAGCTATGCAGAGGCTGATTGTACAGTGTTCAATTTTATTGCTGTTATGGATCTGTGCTCCATTCCTTTCGGTGCCTTTTATAGCAGAAAATAGACATTCTAGGTTTAAAAGTAAATAAAGATACACACTATCTTACATGACTATCCAAATGGATTTGGTTATGTTTCAGCTCACTATTATCTGCTTTTGTCTTTCCCTTTGTGCAATCTGCATCTCTTCAGAGCCCATCAATAACACAGTTAAGGTTGTAATATCTGATATTTTTAAAAACCAGAGAAGAGACCTGTTCACTTTAAATATATTCCTTACACTCAAATTATTTTCCCCCACTGCCCTCAAGAGTACAAGATGGATGTGTTTCCAAACGATACATACAGAGTATTTTAAAAAAAGCTGGCCTGGTAAGCATTTAGCATTGCATTGTAAATTTAAAATTGTCACAATGGAAGGAATAATGGCAGTATTCTTATTAAAGCTTGCTGAAAAATTATAGCTTGCCACTTTTTATTTGAGCAGTTACTTCTACAAAATAACAGACCAAAACTAAAGCATTCAATTAAAGTTGGAAATTTGGTGCCTTAAGAATATAAGAAGGATCTAGCTAGATCAGCGTAACTCGGTCCAGAAAGATTCTCTTAGGAAGCTGGCAAGGACGCATGGAGACGATTGCTTTGTGTTGCTGTTTGTCCACGGAATCTTGCATTCAGAAATATACTGCCTCTTAACATGGAGATTAATCAACATTGATAACCTAACCTAAGGAGGTTAGACTACATCCACTATACGGCAAATTTCTGCACTTTGGTTGCATAAAGGTAAAGGGACCCTTGACCATTAGGTCCAGTCATGAACGACTCTGAGGTTTAATAACCCCAGTAAACTAATTTCCATGATCACTCTATAAGCTCTGCTGCTTCCTAGTACATCAGCCTTACACTTCTGGCTAGCTGCCCTGACTTGGTTCCTCCAGGGTATCACTGGTCCTCTACTTCATAGTTCATCTTTGTAAGTCTGTCCCCTTCTTCCCACATCTATCGCAGTGCCACTGGTTGGCCTGCCATCTTCCTTTGTCACTGCTTGCTTTAGTACGACCACTGATAGCTCAAGTCTCCAAGCAGTTTCTCCATTTCCTTTGCTGCTCATATGCATGGCAGGTTGCTTGAACATTTGTTTTCAGCTGCGTTTACAGGCACCCAGGCTCTCCTTTAAAGAGGCAAAATGTTTCTTTCATTTGGCTTTTAATTAAGCAGTTTATTGTGGTCGTGCTGTTTATGTTTTAATATCTATTTTGGAGCAAACTGATGACAAGGTAACATTCACTGTGAAAATCCACAGTTGTAATAACATTTTTAATCACCTTGGCCTGTGGTGTTTTGTTGTTTATAGCACTTCTGTTTACCATTAAGTGTTCTCCTAATTCTGCTATGGTTGAACCATACTAGCAAATGAGTCACTTCCTGCAGTTCCATGCTCATAAAAAAAACCAAAAAAATACATTAGTGCTTCAGTATGCAATTCTTGTTGAATGGCAAAAATTGGCCCACAAAAGGCATTCCCTCTTCTTCGTACAGTAAGCATTCTGCTATTTTACCTATTTATTGTGAACATTCTAGACATCTTCTCTCAATGGTCTGGTACAGATGAAACACTGACCCAATTCAAACCATCAACTCACCAGTCCCGTTCACATGTAACACTAGCCAGGCCATGGCTTAGCACAAAAGGGCAAACATGTGGGCTTCTGGAGAGGAGATCACAGCCCCTTTGCTCGTGCAAGTCATTCCGCTGTTGCACTGAGCTACGCCATGGTTTAGATAAGTGTGTCATCCAAACCAAGGTTTGTCCTCTGATTACCAAGCCTTCTTTGACTCAAGAACTTGCCTGTCTTGACACATTTGACTACAGTAGGCTACTGTCTCCTCCTTTCTTGTTCACTTCCTCCCTTTCATATGAAGTGCCCTAGTGGAGGTTATTTGGCAGGTATGTCAGGGTAGGACAGCAGGTCTTTCCAGTCATAACCCCTATTATTACTTCCTAGGCCCTATAAAGTGAAAATAGTTGGGTGGGTGGGAAAATGTCCTGAAAATTAACCAACCAGAGCAATAAATTGAATTAAGCCAGGAGTAGCTGCCCCACAGGCTGTATCCAGTCCCCTCAATAGGTTTTTTTTTGGGGGGGTGCTAAGACCCCTCCCCCAAACAGGGCCACACCCACTTTTACAGTATAGTCACTCCCACTTTGATATTCAAGCCCTTGATTCACCATGGGTTAATGGAGCCTCAATCAAAAAAAGATTAGCCACCCCTGAATTCAATACTTATCATAGGACACACAGAGAGGGAATTTGAAAACGACAGCTTAAAACAGGGTTACGGAAGCTGCGGCCCTTCGACTCCCATCAGTCCCACTCAGCATAATGGCCACAGATAGTGCAGGCAGCAACATCTAGAGAGCTACAGCTACATCATTTCTGGTTTAAAAGAAACCAAAAAGATTTATGCCACCCCACACATACATTTGAAAATCTAAGCAGGCTTTCAGCTATCAGTGCTCACATTTCACATGCAAGAAACAGCATCTCTTCCAAATATAAATAGTTGATAATTTTCTATGTGGCAACAACCACATTTCAATCTTGAGGGCTTATAGAGAAATGAAATGAAATGAAAACTGAGGGCTGGAGGGAAGACAGGCCTAATTTGCAACAAGATAACAAGTGCAATGTTCATGGAGGGAGGATTCAGTTACCTATGTTAGATAGGACATTTCCAGTGCTGGCTGCCTCAGGGTATTGCATAGATTACATAACAGTATAAATGCTGTGGCAATGAAAAAGCAACTGGTCAAAAAAGAAATAGCCCCAAGAAGGACATAAGCAACCCTTTCCTGCTAGCTTAACACTTAGAAGTATGTTGCATCCTCCTGTATAGTTATGACGAATGCCAGCTTTGTCACAGCTAATATTAACCAAGATTCTCATTTAATAAGGATTTGAAACTGTGATTTATTATTGGGTTCAGATCCTGTTTAAAATCAAATTCTGCTTAGCATGAGGGGTGAATATGTTCCTAAGACAGGAGGAAATGGGAGAAAGAGAACACATGTTCAACACTGGTTTCAAATCTCTTAAGTGCAAGGAACAAAAACCATTATTACATCTGCACCAGCCCAGAAGATCACTTCAAGTTGTGGTCATATGTTTGACATTCATCCAGCACCAGTTTTAGTATTTCAATGGGCTCATGTGGAGCCAGTGTTACATCTGCATCAGCCCATCTAAATACCCCACGATAAAGAGTACCGCTGCTTTTACTGTAGAAGGTGCAAAAATGTCACTTCTTTGCATTTGTGAAATACAGGTTTGATTATGATTATTATTTGTGAAATACTAGAACAGAATCATGTTAACAAACGTGCAAAAGGACATAGTATGAACTGGGCAAAACAGGAAACAAAACAATAATCCATCCACAAGAGACAACTGCAAAGGGTCAGTTCAGACAATCCTTAAAAGGTTGGATTTGGCCTTATATGCATAGTATTGTACACACACAGGCTGAATTTGGATGGGCTGCCCCTAGCACAGAAAGTCCGGGATGTCAGAAGCAGGGCTGGACGAAATCAGACCTATCAATAACTGTCTGAAGCAGCCCAACACCCAGTTGTTTCTGATAATGTTTTGCAAAAATGTATTGCTTCCAGCAGGGCTGCAAAAATGCTGTAACACAAATAAAAACCAGCCTACTTTGATTCAAGATGGATGCAAAGTAAGGGTATAATGCAGTCTTGTGACTAAGCTTAGGATGAAAAATTCACATATACACTTTCTTATGATGCAACTTCTTTTCTTTCTTTTGGGTCAGGAAGGAAGAGAAGTATATCTACTTATTTGCTCTAGAACTACTTCTCTTTATTGTCCTAGGACAATTTCAATTGCAACTCATGCGTCAATTTTTTCTCCTTTTAAATAAAAGTTACACAAGTTCCTACCAAGCCAGGCCAGATATGGTACGTTTTCAAAACACCTCATTAAAGCATCTTACCTTATGGAAAAAATAAGTAAATAAAATCATTTATAATTGTCAAGAAGTGCTATTGTGATGGTAGCAGGCCAGGACACATAAAGGTTTTTCAGATAAGCAAGAAATCTACAATTTTCAGCCAATGATTAATAATTATCTAAGAGAGAGTGGTCAGACAAGATAAGGAAATTACTAATTTGTTGTAGATAGCTACTTACCTTAGAATGCATAGGCAGACTTTGCCTCCTGATGTTAACCGGCAAAATCCAAATCTTTGTTTGCTTTCAATGTCAGTAAGCACAAAGGTAAAGTGCTGTCCAACCTGGGTCACCCTAGGAGGACAAGAAATATATTAGGCTGTTCTAACCCAGAAAGATGAGCTTAGAATTCATTTACCGTATGTACACGAACACTGACCTGAAAAAATATTCTAATCTAATAAATCAAACAAGATAAAGTTTTATAAATAGTCACCGGGGGGGGGGCTGACAACTTGATTCACCCTAGATTCACTACTAAAGGCAATTGTTTGTTAATTTGCCTACCGGTATGTCTCCATGGCACAAGTAGCATCTGCACCGACTAGAAGAATTTCTCCAGGGCTTCAGACTGTCCCACCCTCACCTTGTGATAGCAGGGGCTGAAGCTGGGACCTTTTACATTCAAAGCATGTGCTCTAACACTGAACAAGGGAAACAGGGCTCAGTGGCGTTACACCAGGAGGGGGTGGAGTGTGAACAGAGGCGTGGAGGGTTCACAGAGCTTGCCGGAGCCAAGCGGTGCTGTGCTGTGCCACCTGCCACCATGCAAGGAGGAGCCCGGCTGGCTGGCGTGGCCCTTAGACAACACCCCCCCCAATGGCTGGGCAGCCATTTAGTGAGGGGGCCCAGGATGCCTTAGCGAGGCCAGGCCAGGCTCCCAGGCCCAGAGACCCCGGCAGAAGGCAGGGCAGGATGGAGATCCCTGCATTGGTATGCCTGGTTCGTGCCCCCCCCAAAATCGTGCACCCAGGGCTATAACACACACCCTGCCCTCTCCCCCCCCACACACACATTTTGCCCCTGCCAGGGCCTGCCACATTAAAGATTGAATAGCAGAAATAATTCTTCAGTCTTTATTCTGTTTGAAAGTTTTAAAAATTGACTACATTTCAAGGTTTATTAAAAAGTGCTCAGATATTATTACAATAGCAGTTTTCCAAATTATATTGCTCCCATCAGGAGCATCCAGGATCAAAACCAGGTGCCGAGTGATCAGTTTCGAAGGTCTTTTACCAGGAGTAACTCAAGGCTGGAGAAAGCAGACAGAAATAATGTTTATTACACTCCCTGGCTCTAGCGTAGCTCCACCGGCTCAGGCTCCCCATCAGTTCCCCCTGGCTTGGCTATTAATGTTCTTTCATTCTGGCTTCGGTCATTTGGCTGCCCAGGTGCCTTTGAAAGAACTGCACTCCCCTGTCCCCAACCTCTGTCTGATTTGCCCAACTTATACTTATTCAGACCTCCCGCAATTTCTGCCAGTGCAGTTCCTTAGAAATTCTGGTCTCATCCCAGTAGGGCTTGGCCTCTAGAGCCCTGGGCTCTTGGCTGCCTCAGTTCTGATAGCCTGATGCTCCCTCCAGCTAAGATTCACAGACTATATGAGGAAATGGAAAGGTTCAGCACGGAATTCTATTTCCAACTTGACCCCAGTAGTTTTTATCGTTATTTACCATTACAGTGGTACCTCAGGTTAAGAACTTAATTCATTCTGGAGGTCTGTTCTTAACCTGAAACTGTTCTTAACCTGAGGTACCACTTTAGCTAATGGGGCCTCCCGCTGCCACCGCACGATTTCTGTTCTCATCCTGAGGCAAAGTTCTTAACCTGAGATACTATTTCTGGGTTAGTGGAGTCTGTAATCTGAAGCGTTTGTAACCCGAAGTACCACTGTATCTGAATTTTAAAAGCAACCTGCTTTACTGCCCTTCATACAATCAGGAAGCTGCCTTATACCAGCACATATTCCAGTTGCTACACAATGCTATACAAGGTCTGCCCCATCCCCACCTCCCATTATCATCTGAACAACCCTGGGGGCCAGGCTAGGCTAGACTAGGCTGCGAGAAAGTAACTGGTCTAATGCCAGTGAATTTCATGGCTGAGTAGGAATCTGAAATGGGACTTTCCAGTCAGAGCCTGACATTCTAACCGCCACACCACACCAGCTCTCCATGCTTCATAAGTGCATGATTAAAAGACCAGATGGAACAACCTGCAAAGATCTGAAGGAGAGACACTTAAAAAGTAACAGTGTGACCTAGTGCTGAGTGATGTAACAGAGTCCTTTGTGCTTTATTTCTGCTCGTGTGCCGTCATCGTTTTCTGTTCTAATCCAATGTCATGATAAAGACAGTAGTAGTAGTAGTAGTAGTAGTAGTAGTAATATATTTATACCCCGCCCATCTGGCTGGGTTTCCCCAGCCACTCTGGGCAGCTTCCAACAAAATATTAAAATTTAATATCAAACATTAAAAGCTTCCCTAAACAGGGCTGCCTTCAGGTGTCTTCTAAAAGTCTGGTAGTTGTTGTTCTCTTTGACATCTAGTGGGAGGGGATTCCACAGGGTGGGTGCCACTACCGAGAAGGCCCTCTGCCTGGTTCCCTGTAACTTGGCTTCTCGTAGTGAGGGAACCGCCAGAAGGCCCTCGGCGCTGGACCTCAGTGTCCAGGTGGAACAATGTGTGTGGAGACGCTCCTTCAGGTAAGCATTGTTATTTATTGTCCCCACTCGTATACTTCGTTATTTTGGGATATTATTGTTTTCTCGTGTCACCATTTTGTCCTTAGCCTTTTCTTATCTCAAAGATATCCCGCAAGACAACAGAGGTCAAGGATCAGAGTATTTCTTCTCCTAGGTGGGCTACCTTCCCAGGTTGATGAGCGCCATCTGCCCCTCACTTCGCTCTACCCCTCTCCTAACACCCTATACACCCCATGGTTGTATGAGTATGGAAGAAAGAGTGTGCGGGTAGGGGTTTTGTGGCTCTGGCCACAAGCAGCACTGGCATGCTGCCCCTAGAAGGTTAAACATGTGGGAATGTGGCCCACAGGCTAAAAAAGCTTCCCCACTTGACACAGAGGCAGGCCTTACACTGGCCATTCCACCCTTTGTAGGATGACTAAGAATTCCTGGCTCCGCAAATCAAAGATGAAAACACAACCTGTAATAAATAGGAAGCAGGCCGCTCCAAAGAGAACAAATTAATAAAGGAAACTGCTTTTTTTTTTAATCTTCTTAGAAGCTGCTGGCATTGCCACCAGTCCTTGAACTGGAGCACAAATACAAATGGTTAAATAAAGTATTTATATTTATATTATATTTATATTTATATTTATATTATATATTAGAATACTGCAAACTCAAAATTGTTCATCAGAATCTCCTTGCTATCGTGAATGAATGAGCCAAAGGCAAAAACCCAAAACGACCCACAAACGTATATTCCAGCACATGCTCCTCTCCTTGCTTCTTTGTTCAAAAATAATGTTTAATGTATATAAACATCAAACCTACACTCTTTCAATGTCTCTATTATATGAATAAGGCTTTAAAATCAATATACATGTTCTTCAGTGAACGAAAGTATTTATACTGTTATGTTCATTATCAAGGCGTGATTTAAAGTTTTCTTTGAGGACTGATTAAGAATTTCCTCACTTTAGGTATGAAAATTCGCATCATCAGCATCAAATGTAAGTTGTTTGGCCTTGGAGGAAGAACGCACTTTCTTCTAGATTTATGGCTCTGTGCAATCATTTAGGAATGGGGAGTTATTCATATGAGAGAATGTTTTTGCACAAAAGTTATGTATAGCCCATAGACACCATGTATTTAATGAATAGTGGACTCTGGTCCATGAAAGCTTAAGCCATTGTAAAACTGTTAACCTTTATGGTGCCACAAGACTGCTGTTTTTTTTTTGCAACAAACTAATATAGCTATTCCTCTGAAAATTATTATGTTATATTTAGTAAATTGTCATACAAGCTGGCTTTAAAATAAGAATTAAAGTTGTGTAGTAAAACAGTAGTTCAGTTAGTATTTGTAAATGAACAGGACAGAAGTTCATAAAAGTATGATTTGTATGAAGAGAGTAAACAAGAGATTTCATAATGGTATACTTGAACATGGGATCATCCAAGGAAAGTATGTGGCAACAGATCTGGGATACATAAAATAAAATTCTAACTGTTCATAACTAAATTGTGAATCTCACTAACCACAAGGTTAGACATCTTTAAACATTTTTTTTAATACTTCTAAGCTTCTGGTTAGAAGGTCTATAAATAGGTTATTAGCTATAAGTGCTAAATGAAAACTCCCTGTACAAAATGCAGCATATATGTCAATACAGGTTTGTGATGAGAAACAACAGGGATAAGCTTGTAAGGTTCCCTAAGAGAATCTGCTAATGTTGGGGGCAGAAATCCTGTCTAGATAAGATTCTTCATGTGATCCACAAAAGGCAGTTCCATTATTATATTTATTCTTTAGTGCCATTATACAGGGGTGAGAAAAGTACAGTGACACTGTGGAATGTGACAACAACATGAAGCTTTAGGTTTCATGTTAATTTTGATCTCCCTGCTGAAAGAATAATGTATTTTGCATACCTTAAATATTTCTTTACAATACAAGTAAGGTGCCACATATCTCTCCAATGTTTGTTATGCATGGCAAACATTTTTCTCCAAAAATTAATTAACAAAGGCATGTCAACAAAAGCAACATTATTATTGCACGCCACCCCAATATCCTAGTGGTGAGAGAATCCAGGGGGTTCAGCTCTTACCAGGATTTGGCTTCCATGGAATGAAGGTTAGTGGTGCCTTTTAAGATATATGGTTTTATTTACACATATATACAACCTGAGCATAAAATGGAGAGACTCATAGCATTAACACCCTAAAGATCTTGCTCCTTCATTCATCACAAGTTTGAATTCAGCACAGCTCAAGCAATGTCTCTGTATCCAGATTCTTACAACTGCTTTCTCTTAAGTTCACATACAACTACACTCCCGTTGCACTTCTATCTACCAGCCATGGGGGAAGAGGAAAGGCCCACCCATTTGCCCTATGGCACAGAGCAATTTATTTGGTTATGCTAAGATTGGTGCTTAAGTGGTCAGCTAAGGCCACTGTCTTACAATTGTCTAGTTTGGTACTAGATTTTAATCCTTACTGGGGAAAAGACTCAAAGAATTGGAAGACTGACCCACCCACCCCACAAACTAACAATGTTATGAAGAGCAAACAGAACAAAAATAGTTCCATACAATTTTTTTCACTTTGTTAATACTTCAAACATTTACTAGAAATGCACCTCCATCCTTGAATTGAGCATACCTTTAACTTTTACTTCTGGATCTACCTTTCATAGGTCAGGCTCCAAATTTCAACGGGTTAGAACAAAAATGTAGCAGAGCCCTGTCTAGGTTGAAAGCTTAGAATACTATCCAAAAAGCTGCAACATTATATGAACAGGTCATGGACATGTACTGCAATGCGCTCTATGTGAAGCTATCTTTGAAGGTGACCCGGAAACTACAACTAATCCAGAATGCGGCAGCTAGACTGGTGACTGGGAATGGCTGCCAAGACCACGTAACACTTGAAGGACTTACATTGGCTCCCAGTACGTTTCCGGGCACAATTCAAAGTGCTGGTGCTGACCTTTAAAGCCCTTAACAGCCTCAGCCTAGTATACCTGAAGGAGCGTCTCCACCCCCATTGTTCAGCCTGGACACTGAGGTCCAGCTCCAAGGGCCTTCTGGCGGTTCCCTCACTGCAAGAAGTGAGGTTACAGGGAACCAGGAAGAGCCTTCTTGGTTGTGGCCCCTACCATTTGGAATGCCTTTCCATCAGATGTCAATGAAATAAACAACTATCTGACTTTTAGAAGACATCTGAAGGCAGCCCTGTTTAGGGAAGTTTTTAATGACTGATGTTTTAATGTATTTTTAATATTTTGTTGGAAGCCACCCAGAGTGGCTGGAGAAACCCAGCCAGATAGGCAGGGTATAAATAATAAATAAATAAATGATGATGATGATGATGATGATGATGATGATGATGGAGATATGAACCATACGAAACAGTGCTTCTCAACTGTAGCTGTCAATAGAACACAGTCTGAAAATAGCTAATAGTAGCTATTATTTTTAACCCACCAACATGGTAATACTACTCCAGAAAATTTGGAAGCTAAACTGTATTGTCACGATCCACTTCATAAACAGAAGTACACCAAATCAGCACATACCAGAAAACTTATATGGAAAAGTTGCTAAAACAATGGAGAACATCCATTCTTGGTCCTGAACTGGATTAATTTTTTTACAGATGATGGAAATAGACTTCAAAAAACTTTCCTCACAAATTAGACATATTCATTGCATTAGAAAGGCAAAGCTATGGTTATTAAAATGTTATATGCATGCTTTGAAATTAAGAAGAAATTAAGTAATTTGTCTCAAACTTCCACAATTTTCAAATGGTTCATAGAAAAAAAAACTGTTTAAGAACTGCTGTTTTATATTGATTTGCTTAACTGAGCAGCATGCAAACAAAATGTATTGTAAGTTAAGAAAAAGCAACAGACCTTAAAATACTTTTATATCAAGAATGACCATTTGGTTTTTCGTTTATTAGAAGGAAAAAAACCTTCAGCTCCAAGTTCCTAGCTCTCAGGGAGGCTCTGAAAACCTTGATGATTCCATATTCTCAAATAAGCTAAAATTTTTGTTCAAACCCACTTCAGTTCACTGCATGTGCAAGTAGTAATTCATTGGAGATGAAACAGTGGATTCATATTCCTAAAAATCACTATATAACAGCCTTTTTATAGTCTCTTCTGTCCTTGAATGCTATGTTAGGTGAATAATGTGGTGTAACTCCATGTAATTAACTCTTAATAAAATAAAATATATGAATTCAATGATATAGGACACTTCACCTAATTTCATTTATCCATTTAAACAAAAAAAAAATTATATCTTTAACCACCTTTCCATGTCTTTTGAGAAAACACAACATTCTATTCTACAAGCTGAAATTCTATTCCATATTGCAGTTAATGCATCTTCCACTATTCAGCGAAAAATTCCATTTAGTTCAAATAGGAATTTAGGTAAATTGCCTGTTGAGGTATTGCATTTTTATGGATGTAACACTACAGTACATCATATATGCATGATGTACAATTTAGAATATTCAGTTCTTCTTGGATTGTAATAGAAAATGATGCAGAAGTTTGGTAGCATAAGACAGTGTAAAATAAAATGTGTGCTAATGGAAATCACACATCAACAAAGATACTGTCTATATCTATAATAATACATATGCTACATGTCTCTAAAATGTTGCTATGCATTTATTCTCACACAAATCCCTACAATCGAGCTGTTCTCAGCTTCTTTAATTTATTACTTCGTATAATCATGCTATTTACCGAAATCCTAACCACTGGATGGCAGCAAGAGAGCCTCATGTGCTTTTAATGTCCCTAATTTTCATTTGCTTTACCTTCGTTACCAGTTTTAGATTCAATGGCATGCAGGCAAACATTACATTATTTTTAATGTGGTTTGTTTAAACTATCCTTTTACAACAAGCCAGAATCTGAAATCACAGTTTGATCCTGGCTCATTCTCAAAAGCCGCAGCTACTCAATTCTCCAAATATGGACATCATGGAGATCTGTGGTTTGTTTTAAATCAGAAGTGAGAGCTTCTGATCTCTTCCACAAATGTATGAAAGAGGAGGAGAGGAGAGGAGAGGGGGAGCACATGAGCCTGGGGCTCTCTGAAGCTTTGTCAAATAACAGGAAACCATGGTTTCCCATTACATCCTGGCTGCGCCAGAGTCTTGTATCACCTCAAACACTAACTGGCTTATTTTGTGGCATCTGCTCTCATGATCTAGAGCATGCTTCATCAGATGCATGATGGCATCCTCAATTCAGGTAGCTCATCTAATGAAGTGGACTCTTTGAGGGCTGGTGCCTCAAGAAAACAGAATAGTGTTTTAACGTGCCACTATCATTCTAGGTAGGATGTTGCAATGATATTTTGTGTGTGTGTGTTCTCACTCTGCCCTACTTTTCTGAACATTCCAGTTCTTCCATTTCTTGATTTACCTGTTTTTTAAGCATAGTTTGATACTGTCAATCAACTTCAGTCAGAGTTTATATATGAATGGGCCAATATAGGTGTATCTTCCAGGCACTTAACCATATTTCACAGATCAGAAGAGGATCACAGAACTGGGCCTGCCCTCGCTACTCTTCCTCTCTTCTCACACTCAACTTTTTCCAGCCCTTCCCTTGACAGCCTTTCTGCACCAACCTTAACCAAGGCTATCTCTAACCATTTCCCTGTTGCTTATGAGTTTCCAAACCACTTCAGACCCTGGCTTCAATTACCTGTTTGTATCTGCTGCCGAGCCTGGGCCATTACTTGCCTGACTAAAGATTTCTCTCTTTCTTCTTACAAGTGAGAGCCTCTGTCTGCATGTTTTGGGTGGGAGCCAGGACATGTAGTTTAAGCACAGTTAAACTATCTAGATTTTAAGCCTGCATCAGTCCGGTATGTTGAAGTCACAAAGCAATATATGTCTGGAAGCCTTCCAAATCTCCTATCTGTACACATCTGGAATCATTCTCAAGGTAACCAAATATGCAAATCTATCCAAAATAAGTTATGTCGGCTGCTTGCACTGGGGGTGGGGGATAAGACCTGTGAATCCACCCAAAATTCAATTTGGGCTACAATATGTGTGGCAGAACAGTGTACTGCAGTTGAGAGAATGTTGGGTTTAAATATGAATGATTCTGATTAAAATTTCTGCTTGGCACTGAAGCTCAATGTGTGGGTTAGGGACATTCACCATCAGAAAGAAATATAAGAGTTTCTTTCAATTGGATTAAAGAATTATGGAGAATTCTGCCCACTGAATGATACTATACAGGAAGGCTCTTACCTGATTAAAGAAATCATAGCCTACTAATCACATGAAATTTAATCAACTATAATTACAGAGATTTCCAGATTTCCATGTGAATAAGGGGGGGGGGACGCTTTGTTTTTAAATAAGTAAGCACACATCACAACAGGCACCATTATAGAAGAGGCATGATAGTAAAGGAGCAATGACACTTCTAATATAGCACCTGCCACATCTGGTTTTTGTAACTACCTGTATTCAAAATAATTCATGTTTTTTTATAAAATCTATAAAGTGAGGAAACTTTGTGATCAATTATTCTAGCCAAGTGATTCAATGTTGCAGCCCTACAGTGGATATTTTAAGCAAATGTAAGGATATTGGAAATTTTTAACCATACAATATTCTTAAAACTAACTCTCAGAGCACGTCTGGGTTTGCACATTTTCAAGATACATTCCAATAAGTTCTTCTGCACCACTGCCACTGAAATAAATAGACATGGCACAACAGCCCAGATGAGTTGTATGTTTATTCAACTCCAGTTCAACAGTGCTTAAGCAGGAAAGATTCCTGGTAAAGTCTGCTGAAATTATTCTGAAGATTCTTTAATACCTACTCAGAACACAAAATTATATCCAAGTATTGAACTAGGCTACAATGCCACCTTTATCAAGAAAGCATATTGTTATCTCTTTTATACCAATGCATTTCCAGTTCAATTGGCGCAAACTGAAAGACCACATGTTGTTATAAGAAGTCTATTCTGATATAAAGTATATTAATAGCAAAAGTATACATTTTTCCATTAAAAGCCTAAAGGCATATTTGAAAATCTAAGACACTGACAAGATTATAAACCGAAGACTGCAGTTGGAAAAGCACTTTGCTTCTTAATTTCTCTGAAACATTTCTGCTACACATCACTTTAGTCTCCCAAAAATAAATAAACCATACTTTCCAGCACAAATAGATTTGTGCACAATTAGTATTAATTTTGCTTACTAAAAATAGCAAAGACAGACATACCTTGCAATGTCAAAAGGAAAGCAGAATTTGGGTACACTCTGAAGTACTTCCTGTAAATGCAGAAGAAAGAATGTTAGGTGCTTAAAAATTACTTGTAATACTGTTTGGGTTTTTAAGATAATAAATAAATAAACAATATTTGGCTTGGGGGAGAATATAACTATAGCACACGTTCCTGGACTGAAATAATTGATTATTAAAAAGGTATTAAGTTTGTGCTTTGGCAGATTGCAAAGACAATGCCATGGAAACCCCAGGAGGAAAAGGCCTGGCCTGAAGGGTATTAACACCCTTCACATCCCCGCTGGGATTCCCTTCAACAAGGCCATATGGATTTTACAAGAAGCACCGTACCATATGGGTAGGCCACGTCTGCTGCTACTTGTACTACAGACTAGCCACAGGGACTTCTGACAGATCCTGGCTCAAAAATACAAATGTTGTTTCAATTAAAATGCAAGCAGGGAAAGGGGAACCAAGTTGGCAGCAAACTGAATTTACTGAGAGCTAAACAACTCTATATGCGTTTCATAAGCTAATGCTTTAAAAAGCTGGAACTCTTCACTGGGTACAAAGCATAAATTGTACAGTTAACCCTTTAGGGCAGCGGCAGCAGCACAAGGTCACAAGCGCAATTCACTCTTAATTTTAAAAGAAAATAAACCTAATGTCTCCATAATCTTACAAGAATTGTAAACTTGTTTTTTGCTTTTCTATTTAAGATGTTGTTTTGTAGCAAGTAATGTGTGTTAATATAGAAATAACGTTGGTTTAAAAAACTACATGATACTTGGAAAAATTAGTAGAGTAATAATGGAAACTATTATCCCAAATAGACAACATCAGTAGGGTTGCCAGCTGACTTTTAGTCTAGAAAATAAAAATCACACAGAACATTAGTAGCACACTGTAGCAATGCCAGCAGTGTGCACTGTGTTGTGCAGAGTAACAAAACAATGAAACTGGATTCTGCCATTAGGAATTTACAATCTAAATTTTGTGAGACAGAAAGGGAGAAGCACACATAGGAAGGATGAATATGAGCAAGAGCTAAATAAAATTTATCTAGGCCTTAGTACATCTGGAGATAAGAAACTTGTGAGTAAAAGGCTTTTTTTAAGGAAAGGAGTGGCTAGGTCAGAGAATTACACATCAGAACAGATGCACCTTATTTCACATATCAACTTCACATACATGACAAATCAGTGATTGTCATACTGCCTGCAAGACTGCCTGCTCAAGACATGAATGGAAGGCAGTATTTTGAGACAGCTTGGCAATAGACATTCCCATGTAATATGTGGTCCAAGTGTGGATGGAAGCTTGAGGACATCTGAAAACTTTAAAGACACTCCTAGGACCAGGTCAATATGGGTGGGAAACTATCTAAATAAAAAGGTAAAGGTACCCCTGACTGTTAGGTCCAGTCACGGACGACTCTGGGGTTGCACGCTCATCTCTAAATACAGATATACAAATTAATGCCCAGGTCCTTTAAAAACAACAACAACAATCAGTGTTGAATAATTACTCAGATTATTTGGACTATCACAGTAGAGAAATCAGCATTTCTGTGTTTTGTAGGGTATGTTTTTTATATGCTGGGCTTTCACAGTGCTAAATATAGATTCCTGTTAACAGAGCACCTGAAACTATACTTAGCCCTCATTTCTTAACAACACTGATTAGTAAGCACAGATGATGGCATTGCTGGGGATCTGTATTTGCAAAAATTCATTACATTTCTGTGAAATTTCTGCTCCTCAATCCAAAATGAGCACACAGAGAAAGAAGATAGATGATAGATTAGATAGATAGATAGATAGATAGATAGATAGATAGATAGATGATAGATATAGATAAACGTATCAGTCTCCTCTGCAATATTGTACGAGGCAGATGAACTACAAGACTTTCCCACTGCTGTTTTCCATCCCTCCCCCTATCCTCAATTGGCGCGCATGCGTATACAAAGACACACACACAAACGTCTGCAAAGCACAGCCTCAGCTCGCTTCCCAACTGGCAGTATCATCCCTCAGGGGACAAGTCTTTAAACCTCCGCACTCTTTAAAATTCAACCAGCCAGCAGGTCTATAGACTGGTGTATAAACAGTATAGGGAGGAAAAATCCTCTCAGCTTATGTCAGTGACAAAGCAGCTCAGCAGTTGACTGTTTCTCCCCTGACAGTGTAAGCCAGGTTTACACAGATCAATAGATGGAAACCTACCTAGCTTGCAGGGCTCAGTTTTCTCCCTTAATTACAGGTGTTATTCAGATTTTTAAATGAATGAAAATAACATGCTGTCCAGAAGCCTTCTAAATACCTACTGTGCAGTTGGTTTAAAATATTCATTACACAATGTAAAAATAATGATATATTTAGAAAGTATTACTATGCATCTTAAAGCTGATTTTGCATAGCACTGACAATATTTCTATGACAGGCCATTGTTCTACGAAGAATAAAAAGCCATTAAACTTGCACTTAAGGCGTGCCTTGGCTGGTAGACAGACCAAGTTGACAGATTTGTAAAGAATTGCTGCCACTCTTGCTGCAAAGATGGACTGAAGTGTTCATTCTCTGCTAATGAAAAAATATTATATAGATATCTGTATACAAGGAAGATGTCTACTGGATAATGCCTTTTGGCTATGTCCTGGACACATCTGGATGTTCTAGGAGTCGTATGTACAGTTCAGGAAATCAGAGAAAGAAATGCATCTCTGTATATAGTGCAAGCAACTGGGAATCTTACCATTATGCGTCAACAACAAAGCTATCAGATCAATCAGTTACCACTTTGCTCATTAGAAATGGTTTAAATTTAGAAACAGTTGTTAGAAATGGTCCACAATTTAATTAGTTATCAAACAAATGCTGGACGCTGCCCTTGCAACAACGAAATATGTATTTTATTGAATTTCTGTTTGTTCTTAGATGAATGGCATAAGCTCCAATGCACAAAACTGAAACAACATCCTTTGTTGAGGGAAAAGGAATAATTTTACTAATCTAGAATACGATGCTCTAGAGCAGTGTTTCCCAACCTTGGGCCTCCAGCTGTTTTTGGACTACAACTCCCATCATCCCTAGCTAGCAAGACCAGTGGTCAGGGATGGTGGGAATTGTAGTTCAAAAACAGCTGGAGGCCCAAGGTTGGGAAACACTGCTCTAGAGTACTCAAGCAGACCAAAGATCATAGTGATTAAAAATACTCAGGGGGGGGGGATCCAGTTCTCCTCCTGTTCTCAGTCTGAATTCACTTCAACCTGACATGCCACTGAACTGGGAAATGTCAAGTTAAAGTAAACTCTCTTTAGATGATAATGTTCCACATATAAGCATGCATCTGTTCACTTCCTCATCTGCGCCACTAGCACAGACAAGAGAGGTGCCACCAGAGAGGAAGGATGACCCAAACAGTTGACTTAGAAATATCATGCCAAGTAGGTTCGGAGTGTCATCAAGGGGCAGGCCTGGATAAGGGATATAAAAAGGGAGACATCTTGTATGAAGACCATCACTTCCAATCCTCGGAGACCTAGGCCACTTGGCACTCTGCTAGTTCATCTCTTTTCCTTCAGCCTTTCCTTCTTGTTCTCTTTGCTTCTTGGGTTCTCCATCTCCTGGACCTTTTCACTGAGCTTTCCAGCAATGTTGTCGGCCAATGCCTCTGTCTCCTGCTTTTTGTCAGCAAAACACAAGGCCTCCTGCCCATAGGCCCCAGTGACGGAAGTGCCAAGTGTGGCAACATTTCATTTCTTAGCGCTCCCTCCGCAGTAGCTGAACATGCACTGGCATCAACAATCACACAGTCAATGGCTTAGTGGAGGCCACAGGAAATCAATTTTAGCCAATTATAAAGTGCAGGTATTAATTAATTAATTAGTGGTGACCTATTTAAAGGCAAATTGCTGTTTCCCATTTAAGAGCATTTGTTGTACTGGAAAGGAGACCATGTCACGAAACCTTCATCTGCCAAGAATAAAAAACCAGAACTAGAATTCCTTCCTCTTTAAACCTTCCTCACCCCCCAAAAAAGTATCCAGAGGATGGAAACAAGATCTCTTTAACTTGTGTTTCACCTAATGATGAAGAGCCAGTTTTTTGGTTCTTAGGGATGGGGCGTCCACCACTGCTATGCTTCTGGTTCCCAATAGGCCTTCAAGCAACCTGATACCTTCATAGCACCTAAAGGGCCTCATTTGAATGCCTGCTACCTCCTCTCAAATTCTGTCTCAAGACTCCCACCAGATATAGACTCATGGCATTGCCATCAGCCAAGATTTTCCCTTCCCACACCTTGCTTTGTGTACCAACTAGCCTGATGAAGAATTCTGGAGTACACAAAAGCTTGCATACTGTCCTGATTTATTTTGATTGGCTTAATAATGGTATAGCTCTATCGTGGTTTTTGATTTTTTCTCATGGACCAACATAGCTCTTTTTTTACTTTTAGTATCTGTATAACATCACAGTAAACATTGAGGAATCTTGTTATCATTACAGTTCTGTCGAGAATTAGAAACCATTTTATTTGCCATTCTTAAACTGAGAGTCTCTAAAATATGATATTTTAAATACCTCTAAATATTTATAATTTATGCCAATTGCCAAATTATCAGAACATATTATGGAGCATGGCACTTGTCTTTTTTTTAAAAAGGCATGCCTGGAATAGAAGAATCTGAGTGAAGGAATGACTGCCGGGTGTGGAGCACACTTCCACCCGCTGGGTGTGGAGCACACTTCCGCCCGCAGATGAGCCACAGCTGTCTGAACGCGTGACCTTCAGGTGTGGAGCACACTTCCACCCGCAGACAGGCCACAGCTGTCTGAACATCATGCCCTCTATCTAACCTTTGGCTTTCTCAGTGGTCTGCCATGCCCTGTCTTGTGACCATTGTCTCCTTCGTCATACATTGTTCAAGGGGAAAGTAACGCGGTGGAAACAGGTGCCAAATAACTTTGTACCACCTGACGATCATGTGATTGGGCACAGTCCAAAATTTATCTGACTGGTTTTGCATATTGTGCTAATAAAA